CCTGGAAATCTTCACATTCCACACAGTAGCTTTGATTAATCTGCTGGGATTCAAAGTTGTAAAAAGTAATAAATGTGAAAAAATTCAGAGGTGGCGTTAATTTTTTTTTTTAGATTTCTAGAGATGTGATGGAAGTCCTTGAAATAAACAATTTTTTTAAAAAGCCCAGTCTTCCTGTACAAATGTCAAGAACAAGAACTTAAAACAGTCCTCAGCATCAGTGTTGTGTTTGGAAACAGATTTTGCACAGTTATGCTTAAAAACTGACTGCAGATTAGGTTTAAAAAGGATATTTGAATGTTTGTGGATGCAAAAATGTAGCTTGGCCAGTACCTCCATACCCCTTCGCTCGAGGGACTGTTGCTTTTCATTTCTCTCAGAGCTGTGAGCTCTTTAAATCAGACTGCGACTCAGTCTGCACATCATTGTGAAACATTACTGGAGTAAAAAGAAAAACTCATCAAGCACCATTTGTATAATGTTGTATTAACCTCTGCTCAAAGCTGGCATATTATCGACAAACTCCTGATGTGCTGACAGAATAAACTGATGAGAAAGTGGGTAATTTAAGCTCCATCAGCTTTCCATCTAATGCAGGGGTCACTTATGGCATTATTATCAGTGCATTAAAAATGCATAACTGTCAAATGGGAACGCCTCCTCCTTTGTTGTGTTTGTCTGTTTTTTGTCTTTCATTGGTTAAAATTTCAATCTGGAGAAAAATAATTAAATAAATTAAAAACAGCAGTTCTGAAGTTGAGCAGCATTAAGATTCAAGTATCTGCCAGACTTTCACTGGAAATTCCATACAACAGACATTACAGCTTTTTGTTATACCAAATGAATTAGGCGTGAGTGCAGGAATGAATGAAAACGGCAAACAGTGTATTCAAGATTATTTTAATATTATTAATATGTATACTTTAGGCTTTAGAAATATAACTATCAATGACAAAACTTCCACTGGAGTAATGGTAGTTTGCTTAGGCCCCCATCAAATCAATTAATTACAATATACACATTATGATACAGAGCAGATTTAAATCTGAAATAATATTAAAATAAATGCTCAATAGATAAAGGTTTTAATTGTATTTTTTATCATTTTCTTGACCTACTGTTAGCCATCTGTGAGTTCTGAGCACACCCAAAAAATGTAAAGCCATATTCTTCTATAAACTAATTTAAGTGCAAACCTTTTTTTTTTCTTTAAAAAGACTATGATTGCAGCATCCAGCTATATAGATTCAGAATTCAAGACTGAGGATGGTAAAGCCAAGTGGAACCAGGCAATCCTCAACTCTCTTTTTTTGTTCCATTAGAGAAGTTATAAAACAAAAAAAACGACAAAGTAGCTAACAAAAATCAGTGCAAAGTCATCAACGGGGAGATTCTATTCAAGAAAAGAGAAGTGGTGGGTGAATGTGGATGGATGCAAAAATTTCAGATGCTTACGCACTTGGTCATAAAAGGATAGTTCTTCTAAAGTTCATATTTTAGTCAGTAACCCTGAGTTGGGTTAAATGACAACATTAAAATAAAAAAAGATGATTATGAAAATTAAATGAACTATCCCTTTAGTCTCAAGCCACAGTTGTCTGGTTTGCATCTAACAAAGCCAAGCATTAATTCTAGAAAAGCCTAATGAGATTTGACACGCGCGCACACGCACGCAAACACACACGCACAAACAAACAAAAAAAGATTTAAAAAAAATTCTAAAATGTATTAAAACTCGAGAACAAAAGCACAATAGTCCACAATTGCACCACACCTTTTCCTGTTCCATTCCTTCTCTAGGTCAAGTGAGTGATAAAACAAAAAACAACAGAAAAGCCATTAACAAAACTGGGAGAGGGAGGGGTAGAAAAGAAAAGGAAAACTTGCAATGCTTGCAGGGTGAAGAGCAGCATCAGACTCTGGGTTGCAGGGTTCTTTAGCAGCAGAAATATTGTGGCTATACTACTGTTCCACTGGGAGAGCTGGCTTGGTTTTGGGATGACAATAAACCCTGAAAAAAGGAAAACAAGGAGATTTGCATTGGGAAAGTCCACATACTGAAGCAAAGAAAGGAAAAAAAAAAAAAAATCAAACAACAAACAGCTCATTAGAAAATGCGTCCCATCTTTCCATATTCCAACCGATGCAAGAAATGAAGAGCCTGTGCACAGCGGTTTAAATAAATGCTTGGTGTAATAACATCCGCGATCAAGGCACTTCACTTTATAACTAGCCTTATGACCCTCCTGATGGGACCTTTATGAACATTTGACATTTTATTACATTTCTAATGCACCTGGATCCTTAACACAGCACACTTCTCTGTAGCCATGGGTTTTGTATTAAAAAAATAACTTTTCCACAGCCTCAGCATTAAAGCATTTTTTAACCATATGTCTTTTCAATACAAAGTAGACTTTTAGTTATGCTGCATATTCCAGACTATATGTGCAATTCTGGATATGCAAGTGTGCACAAACATATTTTGCTGTAAGCGTGTGACGAAGTGCAGAGAGCCTGGGCAAATACAGAGCCATTAGCATAAAGGGTGAAATATGAGCAGGGTTGGGATTCAATAGCAGTTTATCAAATCCAAACAGTTTCAGTTTAGGTCTGCGATCAGCTGGCCTAAACTGGTCGCAGCTTTAATGAAGACTAACAATGATTAAGCCAACCTGTTCACAACCTGCCTCTCAAACCTGAAAATAAGATCTAATGTTGATAACTGATATCACAGCTCAAACATACCGACACCACAAAATTCACTTGCTCAAAATGTTAATTTGATAGATAATTGTCTTCTGGGCAACAAAAATCAACATAAATAGTGGTTGCAGAGTGATAATGTCTTCATCACAAAAAAGTCAGTGGACTGAAGAAAGCACATTAACCAAGAGACCACTTAAACGGAGCCTTTACAGAATTAACAATGTAAGTGTCACTAATGGCAGAAAATTAAGTCATTTTAACTGGAGAAATCAACAGTCAGCACTAGCTATAACTGAGAAGCTGCTTATATCACCTGCATGATTTGATCATTGCTTTGCTAATGGGAAATAAAAACTAAGAGATAAAAACAAAAACAAGTGTGCACGAGATTTGAGTGTCCGAGCTTGATGAAATTTGACCATCTTGTTGAACGGGAAATGCATCTGATGACAAGAACCCAACCATAACCCTCTGAATGTGACCACATATGCAAATGACTTGTTGGCTATGCATTGCGAGATCATTATGGCGAACCAATGAATACATCTTATGTCTTCCTTCATCTGACAGGTCCACAGAAAATTCTATCTTATTGGATTATATAACCACAAACTGTATTGTCATAGCATAGGATGTTTTTTTTTTTCTCCCCCTGAAACTTGGGCATTGGAAAGCAGGTGTACATTAAACCAAATCTTATAACTTATGTTTATTACTTCAGTGGCAATTTGACTATAAAAGCTATAAATCGTATTCCAAATATCCACAGTTTAACGTATGCGTTCAAAATAAGTTTAGTTTCTTAACTGCTTTATCGACTCATAAGCGCCATCATTTCAAATTTCCTCCCATTTCCTACATTAAAAAGAACTTACCACTTTGCCTGGCCTCGCCCATGTGCAAATAAATCCCTCCTGACAAGCAGTCACTAAACAGTCCTCTAAAAATATGAGTACAGTCAGTCTCTCGTGTGCTATTTTTTTACAGATGAGGGGCTCGAGGAGGGGCACGTCCTCCATGCGCGGGCACAGCAGAGTGCCCAGAGTCTTGGCAGGGGCTGTTTTGGTTTTTGTCAGCAGGTTGAGCTTGTCGCTACTCTTGCTGCTGATGTGACCCATGCTGTGGTTGCGTTTGTGGTCCTTCTCATGGTGGCGCTCCTTCCGATCATGGAGTGACAGTGTAGCAAACTTACTCACACCTGTAGCGATGGCGCTGTCCATAATACCACTACTGATTCCACCGCCACTGCTGGCTTTGTTGGTATTGTTTGCCGTTGTTGTTGTGGTGCCAGCAGAATGGGGAAGGCTGTTGGAACGTGGTAAAGTAGTAGCGATGGAGTTAATGCCAGGAGTATTGGCACCACTGTTGTTTCCATTAGTAGTGTTACTAGAGGTGTTAGTGATTATTGTAGCACCTGCAGGAGGGCTGGTAGCATTCATCACATTAGTATGTGTCCGTGTCCGTGAGAGGGGAAGATGCGGGAAAAGGATGTCCTCAGTGAGGTCCCATAGGCACAGCTGAGTGTCCTGCCCCACTGAGCCAAACCGGTATGTAACACTAACAGGCCGGCTGTCTGTGGAGTTACGCTTAGAAAGTCGAGACTGTGTACTGTTGGCCCGGTCTCGTCCAAAGTGGATCATCTGATCCTGGAAGTCCTCATCGCTGCCACTGAACTCCATCGGGTCGCTCTCCTCCACACTTGTGGTGTAATGGTCAAAAGCCACCACACTCACCCACGACTTGTGGCCGTGACCTCGAGCAATGACCCTGCAGTCCAAGAACGACCACACAGTCACTAGATCGTCCTCCCCACCCGCAACTATATATTTTCCATCAGGGCTCCAGCACACGCACAACAAACCACCAAAATAGCTCTTCATGGTGCCGTGAAGCTCAACAGCATCAAAGTTGAACACCCGTAGGAAGCCGTCTTGGCTTACACAGGCGAGGAACTTCCCATCTGGAGAGAAGGCAAACTCATTCAGAGCTCCCTCTCCTACAGTCCATTTAAGGAGAGGGTTCCTCGTGGATTTACTCTTGCAAGTGTGCACAGAGTAATTCTCTCCCTGTTTGAGTAGCTGGTAGTGTGGCGCTGTGGTGCCGCAGGTATGCTCCACATTGTACAGGTACATATTCCCACTGGCATGAGACACTAGAAACAGACTCTCTGAGCCTGGCACCCATTTCACACATGTTACTCTGGACTTGTCTATTAATCTCTGTCAGGAGAAAAATTAGGTTGAGGTTTGAGAGGCAGGAGAGAGCAGAAGAGAAGGGGAAGACAAAAAATAATAATTTTAATACAGTAAAATTGACATTGGTATGCTCAACAAGCTTTAAGTTTTTAATACAACAAGCTTTGGGCCATTTGGTAATGTCAAGTAAAAATTACTAATAATTTTTTTTTCATTAAGATGCATTAAATACATAAGAATATCAATGCATTCAACACAAAAAATCTTATCAGTTGTAAATTAATTGTGGAGTAGAAGATAATCAATTCTGTGGGATTGGATGACATGCAAGCACCATATTGTCACTTCCTGGTTCCTAAAGAAAATATGTACGGTGACGGTAAGGTGCAACCTTAAACAGTACTACAAAAATAGTACATAGATGTTATTCCAACCTGTGTCCTTTAGACTTACCTCCTCATTGAAGAGCTTGCTTGTCTCCTTCTTGATAGGGTCAATGAGCTGTACCTGTCCTGCTGAGAAACCCACCAGCAAGGACACGCTCTCTGCTGTAGCTGTGAGGTGGTTGAAGTCATGACACGTGGGCTGCGTTCCCTTGTAAATGCGCTTGTCTATGGGCTTGCTCAAGTCAGCGGCCTGAAAACAGAGACCGAGATTGCAAGGGGGGAATGAATGCATACAGATTGCAGCAACCTTCAAATATCTAAAATGCCCAACTACTCTACTGCATGGCAAAGTCTATACTTAGTCACACTACCAGTAATAAACCATAGCAGCTGCTAGTGCCGTGTTTTATATCAAACTGAAAAAAGCCAATCACCTCTGCCTTTAAGACTGAGCCAGTGCGTTTTAAATCAAGCATCTTGAACCAAGCGTATAAGACAAGTGACTGGAAGCAAAATACTAAACATTGAAAAACACACAGAAGAGCATAAAGAGCATGAAGAGCAAGGGCATGCCTTTTCTCTATAGAGAAACTGATCAAAAAGCAGTTGTTTTAGCCATTTTAAGGAAACAGCATTATACTACTGTGAAGAAGCTGCAGTACATACATTGCAGACAGTTAATATAACACAACAGTTAAATTTGTTAATGATTAACAGTTTGAACAACTGGTAGAATGGAAAATTCTTTTCAGGGTAAGGTGATGACTCAGGGGTTCCTCCATTTCCATGACATGCGCCTTTGACTGTTTTTGTCTTGCCTCAAAGAGCAAACGTGTCAATGGAGGTCTTGATCAAGAGTCCACTAAAAAGTACAAAATCACAAGACTTCTGCCTCACAATGGCAGAAACAAAGGCTGAAAGAAAACTTTATCATGTTACAATACAACTAAACATACCTGCTGTATTACACATTGGCTTGAGGGCTGAAATGCAGATGTTTTCCAAAAACCAGTATGTGCCAACAGTGATGGAAGTAAGACTTTACAACTCTAGCTACTGTACATTTCTAGTTTGTTTGTGTTTTTTTTTGTTTTCAAAAGTATGTCTGCTACAATGTATCAGAATACATTTCTTACTTACCAATCCTTCCAAAATATATGACTTGAAGTAATTGCCAACTGTGTAGTAACCTGGCATTTAACATTTTCTAACTATGTTAACTTGCACATATTAAAAACCCTGAGGTCACACGAGTTTTTTCCTTTTCCCAGTTGCTTCAAACAGCTCAAATATATGCCAGACCTTCAACCAGGATACAACTATTTCCCTCTGAAAAAAAATGGCTACACATGACATGTTTGTGTGTAAATTTGGAAAATGCTTTTATACGCAGGTTCAATTGAACAAAGAGCTCATTCAATCTGTGATGTCAAATCAGGTATCCGTTAATAACCACATTAAGGTGCGACAACATGTTTTTTATCAACAGTAACGTGGACAGTTAATTTTGATACTGAATGACAGCGGAGACCTGTATTCATATTAATTGCTATGTGATTTCCACATTATGCTCAACTATGGGGTAGCAGATCACAATAACAGTATGTGCCCATTGATTGTTATTAAATACCAAAAATATACCAAATCAGCTCAGTTTGATTAGCTCAGACTCTCAATGAGAATTCTTAAGCCAAAATCAGAGTGCCATTACGGCAGCAGTTAGCCACATGAATGCGCATCACCGTGATTGTCGATATCTGTCAGTCAAAAGGTCTTCTACAGGTGTCAAGGGTGGCAACGTAAATCTGTCAATGCTGACACTGACAGTTTTATCACAAACCAAGCCCGTTATAAACGCAATTTAAGCTCTGTCAACTTGAACCGTTACAGTAGGTCAACTTCACCAACATGATATTAGCAAAACTACAAAAACCTGCCATCAAGTGTAAACAGAGTGACGGATAGGAGACGGGAGTTTTAGCCCCTGGCCTCGGGGTAGCTACTGGCTTGCTAACGTTAGCCAGTTACGCTGGCTAGCTAACTAATAGGCTAGCTTTGAGCTAAGTAGCTAGCTGCCAGCTAATTTCAAAGTCAAGCACCTGTCAGAGTGACTTGACACGCCTAAACTCCTGCAACACCTCACACAGCAGTGTGGCATTTTAACTTGCAGCATAGCGAATTTCCTCAGGCATAAGCCACATTAGCATGCTACCTTTCTAACGCCTTTGTAGATGTAGAAGTAGAGTTCACGGCCCACATTGAAACAGATCCTGTCGCCGTTGCCTGACTGGTCGTTGACGTTCACGAAAGAGACCTTGACGGGGTTGGAGCCTTGTGAATTGAAAGGCACCCTATTAGGACGGCTGTATTCGGAGTGAGTGAGGAGTTTGTAGACGCCTTCCCGAGTGGTGAACTGAGTTTTAATTTCGTTCATCTCCTTCCCTCCTCCCTCCGCCGCCATCTTTGAAATTAACATTCATCCCTTTCCCCCAGGCCGGATCTTACGCACGGATGTGAGCGGCCGTTCCGACTCTCCCGTTCCCCCCAACGGCTCACGGTGGAACTAGTGGAAGGGATGCGACTGGTTTCAACAAGTTGTGACAGCTTTATCTAAGACCTCGCATTATCAACTTAACACAGAAGTTTGATTCAGCCACAGATTTTAATTTTGATTTTATTTTTCGCCCGTGAGTGAACATTTACATATCTCGAAATTTCAAATACTCAGGAATAAGTTTATTTATTTATGTTATTTATTTATTTTTGTTGTTTTTAGTTTTTTCAGAGACGGAAACAAGCTCACATAAACTAGGCTTGATTGTATTTAAATAAATAAATAAATACATTTTGAAAAATAAAAAATACAAGTTTTAGATATTTGCACTGCTTATATATAAATATATAGTAAGTTACTACTCAATCAACCCCACGTTTAAGCTTATTATCAAGTTGCTGTTTTTGTTTTCTTAAAGTACAGTTTACAATATATATTTCATACAAAAAAATATATATTTACATTTTAGTTAGAATAAGCTTTAAAACTTAAAAAAACGCAGGACCGGTACACGTTTTATTTTGAAAAAGCAACTACCGGACGTATTATTTTGTCACAATCTTGAAATTAGCCAAGTCTGTGGTGTTTAAAACTTGTGACAGTGCAGTTGTGTAGACTGCTCACCTGACTTTCGCCACACTTGGCTGTTTCTTATTCAAGGCACCTGCTCTTTAATTAAGCTGCCAGCATTCCTGACCATCTTATCTCGACATATTTGCGTTATTTCCAAAGAAAATTTCTTTCACGCGCCAAATGTCATGGCACACAGAAGAAGAAGAAGACAACGTCCACTTCCAGGTATCAGTGATTACTATTTAATTTTTTTCCTCCTTGGACGTGGTATTTTCCTAGTTAATTCATTTTCATTTGTGGTGTCAACGTAACATGTGCACAATCTTTTCCAATAAAAAGAAATAAATAAATCACCCGTTTATGTTATTGTCTGTCTTTTGATTTAATCATTATTGCATTGTAACCTACATATAGTTTTCTACATTCAGACAGCACTGATAGACAAGCACCCAGCAGTATGGACCAGCTTACTTTAAATTACATGGTAAGAATACTTACCCAATGCCCATCTGCAGGTGCTCTGCATTCTTCTTAGACCACTTGCATACTTTTGGACTGGTATGACCTTTGTTTTTTGTTAGGAGATGTGCAACATGGAGTCCAGCACAGATTCTGACTCTGAAATCAGTCCAAGATGGTCCGACACCAGTACCATGGTGCTGCTTGAATTCATCAATTGGGCAATACATGCACACAGACACTGACATAATAAGCACATTTGGAAGTATATAGTATAGTTTAAGCATTTTTTCAAATAGTAGGGGAAAAAACAGTTTCAGTGATCATTTAACATATAAAGCCAGACATGCACCAATCTTTGTAAAAATAACTGCCAACTTGTTGATGTTGAACCTCTGGTGGTTGTGTTTAGGGATGTGTGAGCAGTGCACCAGAGAGTGGTGCCTCAAGGAGGGCGTTGCCATTAACGCTTAAGCCTGCAGAAAGGCATGGCTGTTATTCTTTGGTATGCACTCTCCTCTCATTCATCCATTTGTGTTGAAAAAGCACATTGCTGATCATGAATTAAAATGTGTGCGCTTGTTATGATTGTAGGATTTGGACCCGTACGATGGGAGCTCTGAGGATTCTGACGAGTCAAATGTCAATGTCTCCAGCAGGCAATCGAGGCAGCAGGCAAAAGGTGGTGGACAAGGAGGATGTCGACTCTCGGGCCGAAGCAAGCGATATATCTTTAATCACTCTGCTTCTGTTGCCCTCAGAGAAGGAGCGAAAAATGACAAGAGAGACTGTCTGAGAGAACAGTCGAATCTTCTGGATGTCCAGATGAAATGTGGAAGTGACTCTGACCGGTTGGTCTGCGAACTGGACACTCTTCCCTCTAACAGTGACAGGGATGCTTGTAAAAATCTTCCAGAAGAAAGGGTAACTGATTCAATTACACACAGACAAACCTCGGATATGGAATTGCAGCTTGATGATTCAGGCTTGCGTATTACAAGATCCTCCACACTTCACCCACCTAAACCTCAAAGCTCAGTGGAGGGGAGTTCATCTCACATGCTGGGTTGCTCCTCTGAGAGATCTCCCTGCTTGTGTAACCTTGGATCTCTGTACAAGAGAAAGCTGAGTCTCCCTGGAACAGACATGATTGAGTTGGGACACAGGAAGAAGCAGTGTGTCTTCAACATGGACGATGAACAAGAAGGAAACGATTCTGCATCTGAACCATGTTAGAGTTCTTTAACAGTTGAGATTTAAGGTGGACTGAAATACTGTAAATAGTTATTTGGAATTGCACTCTGTTTATTCATGAATAGTTAACTTTGAGCACCTCCTGATTGTTAAGATGGCATTTGGTTACCACTTGCTTAAAATTTAGTCACAGGTGACTCATCAAAACCTAATTTTTGTTCAAATGAGCTGCTCAAATCCAAATGAATGAATAAAGTAAAATATTTAAGTCTCCAGTGGTTCATGGAGGTTCATGTGTTAATTTTCCCCATATGTCTGCAGACTGCAGGTTTATTTTGTGCAGCCTATTCAGAAACTGGAAAGTCTTTTTGGAAATGAGTGTCTGCAGTTAGGTCAGTAAGCATTTGAACAATGTAATGTTACCTCAAACAGTTAATGTGATTTTAAGTGCAAACCTTTAGCTTTACTTAAAGGGTTTTAGCAAAACATGGCCTTTTGGTGTTGTGCTGGTCTGTGCATTCCTTCCTATTAACCAGATGGTTCTGTTGATTTGGCCACTCCTTAGGTTTTTGAGTAACAGGGAAACTAGGCTCACCTGGCCTTGTCAGTCTATTGTCTTCTACTTTGGACCTTCTAGAAGTGAGTGAGTGTATAAAAATGGTTGTGCCAAACAGTTATTTCTGTAACAGATATTTTATGCATATTGTCATGAAACTCTACGGCTCATCCTCTTTTGTGTTTAGTGTATTTGGTAATATACTTACCCCTCCAACCAGCAGGTGGCAGTAATGGACAATTATATAGTTTTGCCTGGCAGCTCAGTGAAGGTTTCATTAACATTTTGGATCATTAAAAAAAAAAAAAAAGTAACTAAGAGGACTGTGACAGAGGGCAAAAAATAAGTTTACATTTGTTATTTCTTGGTGAACTTTGCTTTTGTGTCATGTTCACAGTCCAGATGTCTTTACGTAATTTGGAAAAAATCATTCAGGAAAAAACTGTCTAAAGTTACAATGCTGATATTCCATTTGGGACAATCTATATCAGCTTCACAAGAAAGAACATTATGTCACTGATGTTTCCTTTGGCATGTGCGTGATTCACTTAAACATTTCCTTTAGAATACTTCCCAGTCTGAACAGGCTCCTAAGAAGAAAAGCGCTCCATAGCAACAACCATGTACGACATTAATTAAAAACACAAAGACCAAGCAGTTCATTCCAATGAGCTTTATTCCATCTAAATACAACAACGTGCTGGTTCTTCCATTAAAACATCTTTTTTCCCAACTTTCCTTTCCAAATTTCATTTTCTTTTCATTAACTATCAGACAACGTCTCCTCAACCTTCCAAAACACTTTCTAAGAACACTAAGAACTGTTACATGTTCACTGCAGTTCCACAAACATCTCTAACCAGGTTTCATATTGGAATGCAACAGACTACAACTACTATTATGGGGTAATGAATGCAAGTGATTAAATGTGGTTTGATTATAATCAAGACGTCTCGTTTCAATTACTCTGTGCACAGGATGGCAACTCCACGCTCGTAGAAGCTGTGAGGATCTTCCTTGGTGGCGATGTCGAAGTCGACGGTGAAGATTAGGTCAGACCGGGTGAAGTTCAGGTACACGGGTAGAGTGACCTGCAGTGAAAGAAAAACACAAAAGGTGAAAAGGACAACTCCATAGCTATATTTCAAAATCTAGCTTTTTAGATCCCAATGGGGCTGTTTTTTGGCGGGGTTTTTTACCATGTGTCTCTTCTCAGCATTACTCTGCTTGATCCAGCGGAGCTGAGTGAGAGGCAGCTCAGTGGAGATGGAGGTGGACAGAGACAGCTTGTTGTTGGCACAAGTAGCTCCCTGAAGCTTCAGACCTGAGGGTGCAGCAAGCAAGATTGGAATGAGAAAAAGAAATTCATGTCTTTACAACTCACTACATTAGACCACAAATACAGTTAGTAGCATGTTTTAGAGTCCTGCGAACACTTTTTTAGGTTAGATTTCAGTCCATATTAAACAAACAAACAAAAAAAACATGTTAAATTCATATGGATATGATTTAATTACAACACTGTCTGTTCAGTCTAAAGGCCACATTGTTATCTGATTTGTGCAGTGCTTTTGCCGCCAACTAGATCAGATGATATGTCTTAAGTCTAACCTTTGATGCCGAAGCTGCAGGCATCCAGTGAGGCGCCCTGAGCAGTGGTGACGTTAACCTCGAGACACAGCTCTTCCAGGGACCAGCTGTTTGCCTGTGCCACATACTGGCGGGTGGCGGTAATGTAGGCCTCTGGCACAAACAGGCTGCCCAAGCACACATGGATGTTCTGGAAATGATGAGAGGAAGAGACAAGGAAGTAGAAATAAAAAGAAAATGAAAACACATTTTGTTTTCATTTTTAACCAAACTATTTAAGAACCAAAGCTTGTTTGAATGTGTGCACAAACAGTACCTTCAGTTCCTTTGCACCCCCACTGGCAGCTGCCTGGGAGATCTGCTGCAGCTGTTTGATACGCTCACTGAAGTCTGACACCCACTGGATTACAGTCATGGAAACGGGGACTGTGTACCGACACCAGCTGCGAGGGAGGATTCCTGAACAGACAGGTGTATACCACAGGTATATAAAGTATTCAAACAAATAAACAAATTCATTAAAGTACATCAAAAAGTCTGAGTGAAGAACCTTTGACAAGGTCACTGATGAGTGTTCGCAGGTAGTTGGTCTGCTTCTTCTTGCCCTCGCACACTTGCACCACATCGGACAGATCCTGACGGACCTCCTGAAGCATCTTACCTCCCATTTTCACTTCACGCTCAAAGAACCTGAACAGGGGGTCCTGGTATTTGGACAAAGATAATATTAATGCCAAAACAAAACCATAAAATAGAAGCCAGACAGATGTGCTTTGGTGAAACTGAAAAAGAAAAATGTTCATTTACTGAAAATCAAACTTTTTAAAGTCAGTTATACCCGATTACCTCACATTTCAGGCACAAAGATTTAAAATCACCCGACAGTGAAACAATACCTTGGTTATAAATGAAAGAAGATATTGTCAGCACAAGCCTGCTTGCCAGCCCTCTATTCTCTGTCATTACCTTGATGTTCTCCACTGTGCGTTTGAGAGGATTAACCGTTTGCGGCATGAGCTGCAGCCAGTTGCAGGCGGTGGTGTGGAGGGTCCTCATCCAGGCTGGCTGGGTGTCAGATGTGGATGAAGTGCGCTCCTTCTTCTCAGTCTCGTAGGCAAGGTCATCCTCATCCTCCAACATCTGCATTTTCAGCATCTTACCCATCATGTCAGTGCCTGCGCAGCCCGGCAGAGGGAGTGATTGGGCAAGGAGGGAGGTGGAAGACAAGGCCATGGTGGGATGTAGGAAGGGGAGAAGAAATTAATCACAGAAAAGAAACAAACACCTTACCTCAAGGATGGGTTAATAAAGGGTTTGTTTTATCAAAAATAAAAAAATAAAAATAGAACTACACTGGGTCAGACAAAATACACAAGGCTTCAGGCAATAATTCCAACACATGTAACCTTAAACGAAATTGCCAAGTGGATAACGATCCACATTTCTGAATGACTGGATCTGTAAAAGAAATCAGCAAAACCCCAAAAAAAGAAATACAAAAATAAAAGGGGGCGGGTTTTAAGGGAGAAAGTTTGGGGTGGAGTGGGGATGAAGGAAGGGGAGACTGGACCATGTGCTCAAGGGATGGATGCTTTGGCAGCCATGACCGTGGAGGTCAGACAGGAGGAGTGAAAGGATGAGAAGCAGGGATGGTAGGATGTTTGAAGTCCTAATCAGCAGGTGGGACAAGATAACATCTAAGCAAAGCAACATGATGGCTGTGAAATACAGCTGCTGAAGGGTGAGGAGACCCACACCCATCCTTTGGGAAGAAATCTTTTTAAAGTAAAATGGCTATGACTACAGCTATGCTGCACATTATAGCTATGCTACAGAAGGCTGCTTCTGAAAACTAACTGGTAAAGAGGGGAGAGAACTAAGGATGAGAGATGAGGAAAAGGAATGTTTTTAACATGTTTTTTGACACCCGGCACACAGTGTTCTGTCAAAAGTAGACGCAAAAAACAACAAAATCTAAGATTTTGACCTCTCACTGCACGACGACAGCCTGCCAAAGTACGAGTTATGACACTAGAATAGAGAGAGAGTTGGTTAATGAGCTACCCAGTGAGAATCTCAACTGGTTAAGTATAATTGGAACACAGATGAAAAACAAGCTGTCGTTCAGTAACAGCAACAGCAGCATACCCTGAGTGGTAAGCAGGACCTTCTCTGCATTGCTCGGTAATCCGAGCCAAGATGGCGTCTGAGTGTCAGGAAGCATCTCTACCCAGTGCATGAACTCCTCACGTCTGTAACAAATCAAAATGATCAGACGCTTAACAGAGAATGTTTTTCAGAGAACAACAAAAGCTAAAACTTATCAGATACTGACCGAATGCCGTCGGGCATCTTGATGTCCTTGTGTCCGTCAACTTTAAGAGCCAGTTTGAACTCGCTGTCAAAGCTTCCCTTGGTGAAGATGCGGTCCAGGAAGGTGTTGAGCAGCCGCTGGTCAAACTCGTTGTCGATCCGACCTCCATAGATTGACTGGGCCATCAAGGTTTTCAGAGCTGCCCAGGGGATCTTGTCTGGAGCGATGTTCTGACGACCCTGTGTGTGCGCATGAGTGTAACAATTGGAGTGGAGCAAGGTCATATTATTTAAAACTGACCATTATCTAATAGTTTTAGGCAACAGCTACAAGGAGGAAAGGATTAGTCATACAAAAACTAGAAAACATTTAAAGTGTTAATTCTCCAACCTTAGCAGTGTCATCCAGCCAGGTGTCAACCGTGTCACAAGCAGAACGGAGGTCAGACTCTCCAAACTCGTATTTCTTGGACCAGCCCAGTGGTGCGTAACGCAGGCGCTCCTGGATGACCGCATGGAACCAAGCAAGCAGGAAGTAGAGACGCGCACGTTCGTTGGGGGCCTGCGTGGATATGGGAAAACATGATTTACATGGAGAATGTTTGGACAGCACTGATCGTTTATTCTTCACATTTGTGTGTGTCCATTATGTTACCTTGCACATGCGAGCCACTGGGATGCTGCTGAAAGTTCTCAGCATGTTAGCCTTGACGCCGGGAGGAGGCTCAAACACAAAGATACGGCCAGCACGAAGCAGATTCACTGGCACCTGGTGGTAAAACACAGCGGCATGAAAAACAGGAACTAGTGAAAACTGACAATGAATGAATCCAAGTCTAAATGACAAATCTAATGAATGATGTGATATACCTTGGGGTTGATCTCCATTGTGAGGAACAGCCTGAAGCTGGAATGAGGCTGCATAGAGTGAAGCTTTTTCTCCAGCTGCATCAGCCACCCAGGAGCCAGATGGACGTTCTCCAGCATCACCCACCTGCAGGACAAGGAACAGTCAGGACATCAGTACAAGAACACAAACTGTACAGCCTCACAAACACAAGGAAACCACATTAGTCACCTGCCAGACTTGACAGCAGTATTGATGTCTCTGTCAGCCTTATTGAAACCTTCAGCAGAACCTGTGGAAAACATCAGTAAGCAGTTATTTACAATATCCTCAAAATTTCTCATTAAGCACTTGATCTACATTATTGGTAAACCAAAAGTTACGTTTATTTCCTTCTTACCGATAGAAATTGAGGTGATTTGTTTGTTCTGCTCAGCAGCCAGATCTCTGACAAGCCCACTGGCATCATAACCTGGCACAGAACACATCAGCACTGGAGTGCTGGGCTTCACCTACAGACACAAAAAAATAATTATCAGCAAAATGTGCAAGAGTGACAATGGGAAGGTCGTTGATCTGAAATAAATAAGCGATCATTACCTCACTGTCGATGATATTAGCTAGATCAAGAGGCTGCTCAATGATGCTCATGAATGTGTCTCCCAGCACCTTTGATACAAAAATGTGTGACATGGCCAGGAGACGGTCGGGACGGAAGGCCTGAATCAGCAGGAGCTGGTGCAGAGCTTGGCCAATGGTAGCTGAACATATAATGGACAGTTCAGGGCAGATATGATTTATACAAAAATATACACTGTAGTTTGTTTGTTTTGGTTTTTTCTTGGCCTTAATGTTTGTACACAATGTATATACTCACTCGACTGCTTCTCTTCTGACCACAGGTATGGAACAGCCAGCTCTGGAGTGTTGCTCTCAATCCACATGAAGAATTGCT